CCCACATGGAAATCTAGCCCATCAGTAAACAGATCCCCAGGGATGGAAAGACAAGGAGGCCTCGTTGAGATAAATCTCCTTTCTCCTGGCATAGTCTACAAGCCGGAAACTTGGTCAAAGATTAATTGATGGCTTAAAATGGGCATCTGTGATGAAAGAAGGCAAGGTTTTATGCAATTAGTGCACAATAAAAAGCAATAATGACAAAGTCCATGGCTTTCTGCAACTCAGCACAGTGAATAGAGGAGGAGGTAGTATATTAATTAAAATGTGTGTTTAGTAAATTTTAGAAACTAAAAATGCCACAGAACTTGAAAGACCAAGTAAATAGACCAAGTACTATAATAATGGGGCTGAACAAGCAAAGGCAAGAACAGTCTGGTGTTCTCAGGCCCCAAGTTCATAGAGCAGCATGTCCCCAAACCACTTAGCACTGTGATATTGGTCGAGATACACTGAATGCAAATGGGGAAAGGGCAATACAATTGAGAGAATTAAAACCAGAGGCAAGTGGTACTCTCTGAACTTCAGTTTTCTCCTGTGGAAAACAGGTAAGAAGGAAACTTCATAGCTCATTACAGGGACAGAATGGGCTGTGTGGGAGGGTGATTCATAAACTGGAGGGCATCACAAAATCTTATGATTAATCTGGAGTGTGACTACCATGCACCTCATTTAACACTGTTGAAATGATGAACACTACTTTGCTCATTATAAGAAGGAAGTACTATTTAGACCCCTCGAAGTTCTGTTCCCACGTTCCATTGCCTTTGATTAGCCCTCCTTGTCTTATGTACACTAAACTATTTATGTCCATCTTTGCTGGGTATGCTTTGTTTTTAATTAATTTGTTTTTAATCTGATTCTTTCCGAAGTTGTGTGCCACAATTAAAAGACTCTTCCAGATGTTGCAGAACCACCCAGATGTTCCAAAGCATAATTAAAAGTCTTGAGATGAGGATTTACAGAGTATTTCTGACATTTGATTTCAAGTATTTTCCCATCTCACTGAGCTCACCTCAAGCAAATGTGGTTCCAACTTGTTGGGTGAACTAAAACTAAAAGTCTACAGACGATGGAAAACTATGCCTGGGTTGGGCAAAATAAGCCTTATTTAGCATAATTGGGGCTTTTGTTTCCCCTCTCTTTTCTTTTCTTCCTCTTTTCAATGCTGGGGATCTAACCCAGGGTCTTATACACTCTAGACAAGCTCTCAGCCACTGAGCTATCCCTAGCTCTGCTTCTTTCTCGTTCTTAAATCCTCCACAGTTCCAAACAGTCTGTAATGTTTTTGATAACTCACTGTGGCTGTAATTTTTCTGATCTCAGGAAACCCCATGTCCTGTATTTTATTTGTGGAGTATAAGAGCAGGGCAAGGGAAGATACTGCACAAACCTTTCCTTATCACAGCATGGATTGCCGCTGCTTTCAGCTAGGGCACGCATAACTTGGTAAAGACATGCAATTGCAAAGAGACTTACAGACAAGTTGGCCAGTTGCGCAGTGACTCTCCTAAATTCTAGAGTTTGGCTCTCAACCTTGTAGGATAAGGATCAGATTCTTAGGGGTGCCAAGCTGAGAAAGGGTAACCACAAAACCAGATTACAAACAAACCATTTCCCCAATATTTTCTGTATGTCAGACACCACATTGACTAAGTTCACTTTAGATTTAAGCCTTTATTTTTTTTTTTAAGGCATGGTCTCATATGGCTTAGGCTGGCCTATGTAGCTAAGGATGGCCTTGAATTCCTAATCCTTATGTCTCCATTTCCCCCAAACTGGGATTTCCTTCTCAGCTATTTAATATATTTTTAAAGCAGACTCCTTGGTTCACTTCCATCTCTGCCATCTACTGGTTTCTGGTTGAGACACACTCCTTCTCTGTAAGTTAAAGACCTCATTTCATTAACTACTGCCCCCAAAGCTAGGGGCATTGTAAGAATCTGTACTCTATTCACTGGTAACAGTAGTTCTCTCAGCACTCCTCTAGGGCTCCTGCCATCCTTATTGCCCTTTCATGGGGAGAAAGTAGATATTTAAAGTTGCCGAATAATCTGTTTCATATTCCTTTAGATAGCAAGTAGACCACCAAACTATACTTAGGACAAGGAATCGGCCCTGGATGCTAAGGCTCCCAACTAAGAGAACAGTTCTCTTTTCCTTCTTAAAGAACTAAGTCTTTTCGGTAAGACTGTATCACAATGTGCTGGCCACAGTTCTTCTGGAGAAGAGTGCTTGGACAAGCATTACCAGGGTTTGCTCTGGGCCTTGCCCTTTCCTACACCATCATAGCCGATGCCCAGTGTACCTTGGTTGGCCCACCATCCACACTGATCTACACAATCTGTTGCTGTGCTGACCTACAGAACTTGGACATGGCCTAAATCTACTTTATCCAGTGCAGCAAGCACTGTCCTCACATGAGACACTGAAATATGAGTAGTGAGACTCAAGAGCTGGCTCAATTACTTAAGTCCAGGTGGACATGTGCAGCCAGTAGCTAATGTCCCAGATAGCATACCTTTGCAGGAAAGAGAAAGGGAATGGGTGACAGGAGGTAGTTTGCCATCTTAAGGAGAAGGGAGAGACACACTCCATCTCTTGTTAAGAGCATTCCGTATGAGTCTTACTGAGGACAAAGGGTTTCCTAGAGCCACTAATTTCTCACTTCTTTTTTTCTTAACATTTTTCTTAACATATGTTGATGGTAAGTAATCATGGGTTGCATTGCAGAATCCTCACGTATACATGTATACAAAATGAATTTTTATCATTTGCATTGCCCATCACTGTCTCCATCCCTTCCCCCAGCATTCCTGGGGATACCCCAGTTAGTCTCTCTTTTACTTTGTTTACAGAGTCCTGGGTAAGGGCTTATTTATAGGACTGTGAACTCTGAAGAAAATCTCTCAGCAATTGTTAAGTGCCTAAAAAGACTCAGGCACTGGGATGTCCCTAAGAGCACCCTCTGCTCAACCACTATTATCTGCCTACAGGTCCTTGGTGGGTACCAAGGCCCTTCTCCACCGTTATAGATGGCCCTGATCCAGTCTTGTGCTAGAGAGTTCAGCTGCTGTGAGATCAAGAGTACAATGGTGGGTCATGTTCCTGTGATAGTATTCTACCACGTTCAGCTCCTTAATACTGCTCTTACCTTCTTTCTATGCCATCTTCTGAGGTTTCTTGAGTCCTCCAGGGAGTGATCCCAGTATGCCTTCATCTTTCAACCATGGATTCTGATTCAGAAGTCAGGTGCTAAAGTCTCTGCTGCAATTCCCTGTAAACTATACACAAATTATTTAACCTCACTGACTTGCTTTTCATCAGAATAGGGTTGGAGACAATGGACCTCATAAATAGAGCCCTGCAACATATGGTAGAAGTGAGGTTCAGGGGAGAGAATATGTAAATACACTCTGTACACTTGTAAAGGCTGTAGGGTACCAGCAGTTGTGACATGTGTTACCTTTGTCTCCTGAATTTGCTTTCATGTTGATTATCTCATGCTATCTTCACAGCAGGCTTGTGAAGGGAGTAGGCAGGGCTATTATCTCTATCTTACCATCTGTTAATGCAGACAAATGGGGCCTACAGCAGCTCATACATTTACTTCAGTTACTGGCATGCCTGGTTGCAGTATGTCAGGAATCAGCCCTAAGCCTACTGAGTCCCCTGCTAAAGCTGTCTTGCAAACAAAACAAAAATAAAAACAAAACAAAACTCAACAGAATGAAAACTAAAAACAAAAACCCAAAACAACAATAACAGAACATAAAACAGCCAAGTCTTAAGGTTGATATCCAGAAATTATATGCAGGGTTTTTAAAAGGAACTATTTCTATTCAATAAGAAGCCAAACTACAAGACCAAACTGAGTAGCTGCAGTATCAGTGCAATGACAACAGTCACCATTTTTGAAATTATTTTATTCCAATTGGATCATTGTGGATATTTATACAAATCAGATATGACTTTGAGTTGAGTTATTACCACCCTCCTTTTGAAAATTAGGAAATCAGGGCTGGAGAGATGGCTCAGTATTTAAGAGTGCTTGCTACTCTTGAATGTGGGTTCCCAGCACCCACATGATAGTTAACAACCTTCTGTAACTCCAGTTCCAGGGGGTCCGACACCCTCTTCTGGCCTCTGCAGGTACTGGGTCACACATGTGTTACTCATGCATACATTCTTGCAAAACACCCATATGAATAACATAAAATAAATACAGTCAGTTTTTAAATGAGAAAATAATGGCAGAAAATGGCTCAGGAATGCATTTGTGGCCCACAGAGCTTGTAAATGGCAAGGAAAACTGTATTTATTAGATTTTGGGAGGCTAGTATGCCTGAATACCACAAACTGCATATCTTAAATAACAAAATGTATTTTCTTCGAGTTCTGAAGGCCAGAATCTAAAATCAGGGTTGTAGTAGGGTTGGTTCCTCCTGAGACTTCAGGGAGAGAATGTGTCCTAGGTCTTTCTGCTTGGCCAATCAATGTATCTTTTGTTTCTTCACTTCATTGTCCACCCACAGGTGTTGGTCTTTGTCTGGTTTCTCTCTAGCTGTCTCTCTGTCTCTGTCTCTCTTCCCCTTTCCCCTCTGTCTTTAGTAAGGACACAAGCCATAGTGGATTAACCCTCATTTTGATTATCTTTATATAAAGGTAACCCATATGAACCTTAGTGCTTCTGATGTTACTAAAGCATCCTGGGAACAGATGTAAAGATTCATGGTGTGACACTTGACCTCCAACTTCTATTAGAGACAGTGAACAGAAATTTACCCTCTAAATGTTCTTAAACTGGGAAAAGGGCTCCTAAAATGTTTGTCTAAGACACCAGTTTCCAGCTTACTAGGCAATTTGGCGTTGAAGATTTTCTCATAAACATTTACAAATACTCCACTTAGGGATGAAGTTAATCAGTAAACCATACAACCTCTGGCCCCTGTCACTTCTTACCTAGTCTCCTTTCAGTTGCTGTGAACAAACTGAGGATGGTGATGCAGTTTCAGGGCTTAGAAAATCCGGTTCAGATTAGCCTTCACCACAGCCACCGGCTGTCAGGATTTGTCCCGGACGTGATGAGTTTGAAGCCCACTAAAGGTAAGATACTACTCACAGCTGTCGTCACTTGAGACTCTCCTACTGCACTGAAGCAATCTGGGATCTCTGTTGGAGGTTAAAGCTAGGGAGGCCTGGGTGACCCGGGAAGACTGGGGATGGGAGGATGTGGTACGTTGATTTTTGTAGTTCTAAGCTTGTGAGTATCTAATTGGGATAATAGGCCAAACTGGTACTATCCTTTCTAGTCAGTCCAATGTTAACATTAATGCCAGTGGACACTTGAAGAAAAAGTATGCTATTTAACACTGTGATTTTTATAATTCAGAGCCTCAGTTTCATTGGATTCTGACACTTGTTCAGTAGCTTGGGACCAGCATGAAAAACTAGAGTAGAATAAAGTCAACATCAAAGTACCTACCAAGAAATAAAGACAAACTTGCTTCATAGAATTTTGATTCAGTCACATATGTGGAAGTGTGTGCTAGGGTCATAGTGAAAAAATGCATTGCAGACTGTGGTATGTGGAAAAAGTAATAAAAAAAAAGTAATAACCAGAAAAGAAGAAATATCAATTTCATGAACTAGTTTTGTAGCAGTTTTCTTCTAGCATTTTCTGGCAAATAAGGTAAATGAAAATGAGATATTTATTTACTCTGAATTAAAATATACTTTATAATGAAAAGACAGTATATAATCTTAATCATAAACATAAACTCACCTCTTAAAACTTCCACCAAAAAATAGATGCCAATCATCTCCCCAATAATTACAATGAGGTGCATACTTTTGGTCATAGACTTGGTGGTATCCCATTAGGAGTAGTGTTTCAAAGTGGCTGACACTATATTTAGAAACAGAAATTACTTACACAGCTTGGCAAGCAAGCTTTCCACCCTTTTCTATTTAACACACATTTATTTAATGTTTATTATGTGCCAGGCATTGTTCCTGGTGCCAGAAATGATAGAAATGGTAATATAATCTAATATTTCCCTTAGAGAGTTCACAGACCAACCCCAACAGGAACAAAACAGAATGTACTGAATGTTGGCTTCATGTGGTGCTTGCAATTTACATTCCTTGTCTCAGTCCCACCGTATTGCAGCCTCTAATGCAAGAGTGCATTACTCTAGGTTTATGGGGTCAGAAACAGAAGCTAAAATAGGCCCAGGGTCTTCCTCAAGTTCACAAATGTGGCAATTTGCAGGTGAAACAAGTCCAGATCTATCTCCCCATCTGTGCCGTCCAAACCAGTTTCTCATTACCACTCAAGTTCAGCGTGCAAGATAAGGCTGCGAACAGATACGAATGATCATACAAGCTAATGCTAAGTGTTAAGTTAGGCGTGTGTACAGAGGTTAGGAGAGATTAATTATGCCTGGGGGAACTGGGGCAGGCCTCACAGAGGAGGTCATCAGCTGACACCACTGGGGAAACACCTACATCCCAAGGCCTGGTTCCAGGAATGGCAAACAACTTCACAAATGAAGCCATGCCATTTGGCCAAGAAGCCACGGCTTAAGAAATAAGGGCTATGTTAAAGCAAGTTCCCACTCAATTCAGTTCCACAAATATGTCCTTGAACATTGGCTGTGCTTATTATTGTGTCAGAGGTTAATGAAAACAACTGAAAAAAAATGGAATAATTTTCATCAGAGACTGATACTAACTGAAATTGTAGGAAAGTGTCACCATTAACAAGTGAACTCATTCTCTGTCCACAAACTCCCTAGAGATGTGCTGTTGAATATGACGGTCAATAGCCATTTATGACTATTTAATTAAAAATGTTGATAACTAGGAATTTAAAAAAGTTTAAAATTCTCTTTCTTAGTATTACTAACTGTATCTCAAGTGTTTGATATCCTCATGTACCAGTTCATGGTTGTTAGTTGTATGTACTGAACATTCTCCCTTCATATGTCCCTCTGGATGGAGTCTGTGGAAAGTCAAAGGCTTGCCTCCATCCTGAAGCCGACCTTCCGAGAGTTTTCAGACTCCTCTAGTGTTTATCCAGGTGTTCCTATTTAAGAACTATTTTCTAAACTCTCATGGAGTTCCTTGTCCAAAGGATCCAAATTGGAGTAGATGAGGTTCAGGGAGTTGAGTTCTCATAGTCAATTATATAGTAAAAGTTTCTCAGGTCCAACCATTTAGAAAGGGTCCCTGTGCTGGTCCTTCATTTCCACACTGTGTGTGTATTTTTTTCTCCATTTTTAAAATTTAAATTAGAAGCAAGATTGTGTTTTACATGTCAATCCCAGTTCCCTCTTCCTCCCTTCCTTCTCTGCCCCCCCCCCATTAACACCCTACCTATCCCATACCATTTCTGCTCCCCAGGGAGGATGAGGCCTTCTATGGGGGGGTCTTCAGAGTCTGTCATATCCTTTGCCATAGGGCCTAGGCCCTCCCCCGTGCATGCCAACTCATACACACTGTCTGTATATTTACCACCTTACTCTGTGGCTATGCAGCACACTGTGAAATGCTAGACATGGATAGGCTTTGAGAATAAAAGCATTAATTTGTGTTATTGTATACTATTCTCATATTTTGCTGTTTTTTACTCTTTTAGCATAATGTTATCTATAACCCTGAAAAAGCTTTACATTCATGTGCCCATGTGCATGTGTGTGCATGAATCCACATGAAGGTCAGAGGTCAACTTCAGGTGTGGTTCTTTAGGTACTGTCATTTGTTTTGTTTAGTAGTTCTGGGTTTTCTTCTGACAGGGTCTCTCACTGGCCTGGCCAGTGAGTTTCGGGCACCTTTCAGACTCTGAATTCTTGCCTGGGCTTACTAACAGTTCAGAATCAAGAAGATGCTGGAGCTCATCTGGCTTTTTGACTTGGTTCTGAGGAATGGTATGTGGTTGGCCTGGGCCATCTCCAACCCCACGTTGTGTTTTAGTTTAAAGGTTCCAGGGATAAATATGATGTCGATGCCATTAACTGACCTATGCTGGGACTCTTGTTTCTTGATTATGGGAATATTTGCTTTACTGAAATAATGTTCTGGGGCCTTGAGCTGTCATGTGAAGAGAAAAAGTTAACCATTTCCCTGGGTTCTACAGAACCCAGATTCTGTTGTTAATTGGTTTTTTGACCTTGTACTAGTTGCTTAATTTCACTAACCTGTGGTGAAAGGAAGCTGGGCTCAGGTTGGGGGAGGGAGAGACTTGAGAGAATGAGTTAGAAACCAAAATCTAGTTAAAGAATGAACCCAGTACTTTAACTTTTCAGTTCTTTTACATTTTATTTATTTCTGAAATTTTAGTCATATTTGGTAAAGAAATGGACTGGGATTTTGCTTACATTTTATCTTTAATAATTTCATACTGTATTCTATTTTGTACTCATAAGACAAAGTGGCTTTACCAAAATCCTTTTGTTTGATAGATGTGCTAATTTTTTTTTTCTTCCTAGCTGATACAGACAAGTTGGGCATGAAAGGAAGGAAACTGATGTTTACACAGATACTGTATATTGTGTGCTTGGTCAGTCATTTCCTGGGTCAGTGTAGAATGTGTTGTCAATATTTAATATGTGACTATTCTGCTTTGCCATTGTAGAAAAGTTGTGAATTCTAATATTCATAAAGAAGTCTTGTGCTTATGAGATTTTGGATAGAAAGGACTAGGGGATCATATATCCTTTCTTTATAGATGAGCAAAGAGAGACCCAGGCAGGGTTGTAAGTAATGGTTTGGAGGCACCATTTAATTAAATTCAGAACCATGACTCCTCAGATCTAGAGACCACACACACACACAGCAGTCCTTACAGTGAAGTTTGCAGCCAGGTGAAGATGAGCTCTGGAGGAGAGTAGCTATGCTGAGGGAGCAGTCAGGTACAGCAAGCATGTATGAAAAGTTCTGAGACTGGAAACAGCGATATCCAACAAATGGAAAAACTGGAACATGGAAAAATAGCCGGAAGAGAGAGGATCGTGCACGTTGAGTCTTGTTTGTATTTTATGTGTAAGCAGAAGTTGCAAGCTCAAATACAGAGAGCAGGGGAAGAGGAAGTCATTGCCTCCCACGCTTTTGGAAGCATCTCACATTTGACATCATTCCAGAGAGTCGAGTGTTTCCATGCATGGGCTTTGAGGTCAGACTCCAATCTCAACTGTTTGGAGGGGGCTAGGAGTAAGAAGTAACTTAAGCAAAGACATTCTGTCCAGAGATGAAAACAGCACAGAATTGTCCAAAGTGTGAAGGAGCAGCCCAGGAAACTCCTTTGTACACAAGAAATAGTGGTACCTCATCCTACTGCAGCAAGGAATAACGAGAATATGCAAATGAGGAAGGAATTCATAAAAATTTCTACTAGTAGTAATAATGACAATAACACCGATCATTTGAGCTCTTTGAAGAATATTTTAAAGGCAAGGTGCACAGGTCCAGAATTCCTAAGTCCAAATTCCCAAATCACTTGACATCATTGTTCAGTAAGTTCAGTAAGAATTTCTTTTGGTAGCCACCCCTGGGCTGAAGGATGTGAAACTCTGGTCGTTATTTATTCTACTTTGTGTGAATATTCATAAAATTCCATTCAAGGGGTTCTAAATTTTGTGTGTGTGTGTGTGTGTGTGTGTGTGTGTGTGTGTGTGTGTGTGGGAGAGTATACTCACTCATGTGAGTGTAGGTGTTGAAGACCAGAGGTTGAAGTCACGTGTCTTTAGATGAAGACACTCATCTCTCTGCACCTTATTTTTTCATTTTCTCGCTGAATTTGAGTTGTGCCATTGAGACAGCCTGGCCAACCCCTTGAGCTTCTGGGATCCTCTTGTCTCCACCTCCCTGGGGCTGGCATTATAGGTGTATGTCATCAGGGCTTTATCAAGGCTGCTGAGGCCCAGTCTTCAGGACTGCACAGCAAACACTTTACCCACAGAGCCCTCCCCCCCCAAACAGTTTTAGATTCTAAGACACATTTGATTGTGTTTTCAATGAGGAACTGAGAATCTGTATATTTCAGTCAGCCATCAGCAGGATGCATTATCTAGAAGTTTCCATACCTCTAGCTTGAGGTATGAACAATGAGTATCAACGGTTTAGTTTCTTCAAGTCCCAAGCTCAGGAGGAACAGCCTGGAATTGTGCTCTAGGGTCATCTGATAGTGTGTTAAAGAGTTAGATCTTGTACATACTATCTTATCTTTTACTTATGTCTTTTTTTGCATTTTGCATAATTTAAGCATTTTGTTTTCTAAAGAGCATAGCTTACATTTCCAAAAATAGAAGCATTTCCAAATCTGCTAATTTTTGTTACCTGGAGGTTTTATATTCAAGAGTCTTATTTAATAACAATGCTTTTAGGAAAAATTATTATCACTACTTAATGTCATCTTGGGGTACTTCTTCCACATCAAATTTAACAAAGCACTTGGCATGCTCATTCAATCCTTACAGCAACTCAGTTGCTATTGGTAGGCATCTATTCCCTGTTATTTGAAGAGAAACTATGGCTGTTAAGATAATTCCCATCTGCACAGAGGTTGAGTAACAGAGCACAGGTTTGAATGCAAGTAGACTAATGCTTCTACATAGTGCTTCCTTTTCTTAAAATTCCTTCTACAGTAAAGATATTATGTAGTTTCTTACCCCAGAAAGTAATGTGCTATCACCTTGAACACACACCACTGTTCAGTTTGTTAAAGATCATGAAGGAAGTTGCCTCACAACAAATGCACACACCACACACACACACACACACACACACACACACACACACACACACACACACGCACACACGCACACACGCACACATACATTATTTATTATACTTATAAGCATACACATTTTCTACAGTTCACCTTTTGAAAATAATAACTGCACATAGAAGAAACCCTCCCATATCATCACTGTCATTATTATTGCACATTTGAGTAGTATTTGTGTGTAAACTCTACAATTTTTCCAACCATACTCCTATTGATGGAGTATGTTTCTAACTTCTTTCTTACAAGGTGTTGAAAATGAATGTCTTAATTTGTAAAAAAAATATTTCACATAGAATTGAATATGTCTCTAAAATAAATTTTCCTGGCACTGAAAAAATTAATGCTTTAGATATTAGTCTTAAATGCTAGAAGACTGTAAAAATTACCCTCTAAAAGTGTTTGTTCTCCCAACAGTGTCCACCATTCAACTTAAAATCTCCATACTTTGAGGTTAAAAATGAGTATATTGTAGATTTAATTTGAGCTTACTCATTATTTATTTTTAAAAGGGAAACAATTTTGTGGATTTATGAAACAGTTTCTAAAAACTATTTCTGACTTTTATCCATTTCCATAGGCTGTTGAATGTTCTCTTATTAGTTTTCAAAAACTCACTACATATTAGCAACATGTCATTCATCGGTCCTCTGTGTTCACATTTTCCCCTGAGGTTATGATTTATCATGTAAACATTTTTATCTGTCCTTCTGTATAAACACACACACTATATATATATATGTATATATGCAAATATATCTAATATCTAATATATATATTAGATATATTTGCAGATAAACATGTATTTTTAAGGTTAATTTTATAGGGCTGGGAGATTGCCTAGCGGTTAAGAGCATTTGCTGCTTTCCCAGAGGACATGGGTTCAATTCCCAGCACTCACATTAGTGGTTCTCACTTACTTATAACTCCAGCTCCATGGGATATGACACCCTCTGCCCTCTAAGGGCACTTGCGTCAATGTAGAGCACATAAACTAACCCAGGCACACACATGTGCCTTAATAAAAATAAATAAATAAATAATAAAAATTAAAAAGTTAATTTTATGTAGTCAATACACTTTTATAGCTTTAGCTTTTATGTATGCTCATAGTTTGTTTAAATACATTTGAAGCAGTCATACTGCTCTTACTTCTAGAATGATGACATTAATTCTAGCTTTGTTGGTCCTTGTGTTCAGGTGTGCTAACAGAACAAGAGGCAGGCGCTCTGGGGCAGCACCTGGATTTGGAGGCATATTCACCATACAGCAATGTCCAGTTCCCTCAAGTTCAACCACAGATTTCCTCATCCTCCTATTATTCCAACCTGGGTTTCTACCCACAGCAGTCAGAAGAATGGTACTCTCCTGGAATCTATGAACTCAGGCGAATGCCAGTGGAGACTGTGTTCCAGGGAGAGACTGAGGTATCAGAGATGCCTGTGACAAAGAAGCCCCGAATGGCCACATCAGCAGCTGGAAGAATAAAAGGGGATGAGCTGTGTGTTGTCTGTGGGGACAGGGCCTCAGGGTACCATTACAACGCGCTCACCTGCGAGGGTTGCAAAGGTGAGTGCTATCTGCTTGTTTTCATCTTAGTAAAATTCTCCTGTGTTGGCTGCTACAACTTCTTGGACCAGGTTTACATGCACAAAAATGACCAAATTTATAAATTAAGTATAAAGAAACTACAAAATATCCCAATGAAACAATACAATGTGTTAGCTATATGTTGTTGTTATTTGAACTGTCAGTGAGGTGTGACCTCACTGAGTGGCTACTCTGCCACAAATGGCTCCACTTCTCCACTGCTTTTCTCTGAGCTGCATCGTGGTCCACTCAGAACTCCATTTAGCTTGAGCTGGCGATGCATCGTGCATATTAAGTTTATCTTTGCTATTTTCTCACTGCTTTTGATAATTAAGTCATATTTCTTGCTGTTAATGAGATCATGGGCACAAACAAACTCTAAGGGCAATTGGTTTAAATGTCAGGACAAGATGGCCATTGAGATGATCCAGAGAAGGTATTATTAGTCTTTTAAAAGAATAGTGTAAAATCAAAATACAATAGCAAATTTGATATAAGGCCAGTGAGATGGCTCTGTAGTTAAAAGTGCTTGCTAACAAGTCTGAGGTCCTGATTCCTGGGACTCACATGGTATAGGAGAGACTCCTGAAAGTTGTCCTCTGACTTCCACACACATGTCATAGCACCTGCATGCTACCCCCATAAATAAAAGAAAAATCATGCATAAGTAAAAATAGATTTAACATGGGTAAAGGAGTTAATATAGTATGTGTAGTATTATAGTGTAGTACTAAATGTATAGAATGCAGTGAAAACTCCATGAGTCTCTGCTATTATTCCTGTCAATATCTTGGTACCCAGTTGTGTAGAATGAGGTAGATACAGTAATAGAGTACAGCATCATGTGACAGTTTCTGAAAGTGCAAATTTGGGTTCCACTCCAGGCCTATGGAATGAGTATCTCTGGAACCAGAACCCAAGAATCTATGATTGCACAAGCCCTTTATGTTAAAGTTTGAAAAATCTGCGTGTAGGTTATATCTAAAAGGCACCCAAGAGGTTCGTCCCCTTGGCTGAGTAGTAGGCTCTCTCTCTCTCTCTCTCTCTCTCTCTCTCTCTCTCTCTCTCTTTCTCTCTTCACCACAGGGACAACTCTATACATAAAAATGAGGACTGAGCCAGGTGGTAGTGGCTGTAATCCTAGCCCTCAGAGGGTGGGGGCAGGCAGATCTCTGTGAGTTCCTGGTCAGCCTGGTCTACAGAGTGAATTCCAGGACAGCCAGAACTGTTGTTACACAGAGAAACCTTGTCTTTAAAAATTAAAGAATTTAAAAAAAATGAGGACTGGAAATCTGACTGGACAAATTCCAGTCTGGGTCATGTTTCCTGCCTGAAGAGAAAGAAAAAGACAAAGAAAAGAATACATACATAGTTTACTTTAAAAGTCTGGATCAAAGGAAAAATCCCAACATAAGATAGTATATAACCTGTATGTCACAGTGATGACTATCAGGGCTGATTCTCTCTGGGCCTTCACAGTTACTGTGGGACATGGGCATTACCCTGTGCACCTGAAAGGGAAGAATAGCATGAGATCCCTCCCCCAGGGCTCAGGGAACCCTGAAAAAAGGAAGCAGAAAGAGTGGTAAGAACCTGAGAGGGTGGAAGACACCAAGAAAACAAGGCCCACTAAACCGACATGAGCAAAGCTCATAAATGAATCTACAGAGGCTGAGGCAGCATGCACAGGTCAGCGCCAGGTCCTTTGCATAGATATCATGGCTTTCAGTTTAGTATCCCTATGAGATTCCCGAGTGGGTCTGTTTCTTGTTCCTTCTCTTGGGCTCTTTTCCTTCTTTTTGTTTGTTTTGTCCAGTTCTAATATGGCAGTTTTTGCTTTATATTATTATATTTTATTTTATTGTCCCTTAGAAGCTTGTTTATTTTATTTTACTGTCCCTTAGAAGTTTGTTTGTTTTCTAATGAGAGTCAAAAATGGAAAGGATTCAGATAGGAGGGGAGGGAAGGAGAGGAAGAACTAGGGGGAGTTAAGGGAGGGGAAGCAGTAGTCAGGCTATATTATGTGAAAGGGGGGAAGCTATTTTCAATAAAAGGGGAAAAAAGAAAAGAAAGGGAAGAATATGCATATTATATCAGAAAGAAACTGTGGTTTTGAGAGGCCAGTGATGAGAGCAAGTGAAATGTATTTACCACATTTTGTGATAACGTTATTTAATTTTCATACTGTATGATTAATTTGTAGATGAGCAAACTGAAACACAAGAAGTTAATGAGCCAGGGTTTCACAGCTAATGGGGTCGGGGAGGTTCAGCTTCAAGATCATATTTTATAAATCTAACTGCACACCTTGTATGAATGATTTCTAGGCTGAGTGCTTATCAATGCTCACCCAGGAAATGGCCGTCCTACTCTTGGACTGTTGGCTCACACTTAATACTGACAACCTTGGTGGCCAAAGGGAGAAAGTCAAATGCTTCATTTAGATATTGAGGTATCAGTATTGCCTCAGCCACGGATCAGACATCAGAAGTCAGAAATCTGGAATAGTTCACCTCATAAATAAACTCAGGTCAAAAGGTCCTAAGAATCCTGGAGCATGGCAGGGGTTCTACAGGGAGACTAGAGGGCCAAGGAAGATCTGTGGGAGAACTCCCTAAAAGACATTCAGGAAAGGAAGAGACTCTCCAGGATGGAGAAACTGTGTCAGAGGCAGCCAGCCTCCAGGAAAGCACGGGACTGCAGCTAGCAAGGCACAAAGGAAGGGGTCCCATGGAGCCTGGTCCTTTGAGACTGTTAAGAAGAGGGGGTTTGGATGGAGATACGTTTGCTTTTAAGAGCAGAGTAAGGCAGACTTTTCATCTATTGATTTGGGTTTGATACTTTGCCCCTATGGTGTCATCAAATGACAGGCATGCAACAGGCAGAAGATGGAGCCAACCGGGGCCATTCGCAAATGGTCAGACTACTAATATTTTAGGCTCTTCATCATAGAAGTCTATGTTGCAACTGCTCTGCTCTGCAGACATACCACGTGAACAGATGTGTAAAGAGTAGCTATGGCCTCGTTCTACTGAACTTTGCTTATTACAGAAACAGGCAGGAGAGTGAAGACCAAGGTATAGTCTGTAGCTTCCTGGCACCTATTCTCAACCAAAGATGAGGGCCAGTAACCAGAACCAACTGCAAGCATAGTGAGAGCACTCAACACCCAACTATGTGGGCAAGAAATGAGCCTTTTGTCTAACTGGATTTAATCCAACATTAGGCCCTGAAGTTTATTTCGTTTGATTCAGGACCGTTGCCCTACTCCCGCCAAACATCATCTGAGCTGTGGTCAGGCACCACGTTTAACAGAGTGCCGTGGAGTGACTGGGTGCTTTGTGGTGGGGTTGATACTCTGTACTCTCAAGCTTGTTTGTTGGGGTGATGGTCTGAGTGCTCTCCAGTTACCAGTGAGAAGATGGGGTGCTGTGCAGTGGCATCCTGGGATGCTGAGTGCATTCTTCCTCCATCTCTGGCCTCTAACTGTGCATTTCTTTTGGGTCAGAGATGGGTTCCAGCTGTTGTTGCAGGGCTTGTCGAAATACCCAGCAGTACCAGGAAACTGTGGATCTGCTCCATGCCAGGCTGGGCACAGAGAATCCTAACCATGCAAGAATCCCTCTGTTGCAGGATCCCAGATGGCACTGGGTTTCTGTCAACTCTCAACCCACCTCTACGATTCAGTCTGGAAATGGGAACATGAAAAGAACAGAGTTCATGGCCTCTCAAGGAACCAGCATTCCTTAGTTCCTTCTCTTTGACTGCCACCATAAACACTGTCGGTCACAGTAGTACACTATCTTAAGGGTCATATAGTGTTTGGGATTTGAGAGTTCAGGCTTTGGTGACTGAAAAGTCAGTAACAGTCTGCCTTGTGGTCTTATGTGTTCTCATCAGAAGACAAGCGAACCTTGCTGTAGCTTAGTGATCAGGGAAGGGTCAAGGGCTGCAAGGATATGAGAGGAGCACAGAACAGGATGGAATCGAGTCCAACAAAGACCTAGGACAATAGACTTATTGTCCTAGGTCTTTGTTGGACTATTAGACCATGAAAGTCTAATAGCTCAGCCAACCCTGGTCGTACAACCTGCAACTCGTGGTGTCTGATCTTCCCAGCTACAAAGCTGGTTTCACTCTTCAACATTTTTCAAAAAGATGGTGGACTTCAGAGTCAATCAACATGTCTCAGATCTAGGCTGTCTATAAATCATCAAGTTACCCAAGACAGCAGCCAGAACTCAGTGAAACAAAACAGAAGCTAGTATTTCAGGAAGAATGGAACAAATACAGGGACAGACAAAAGAGCCACAACAGGTTCTGTGCTAACCTCCAAGAGTCTGTTCAGAGCTGTGTTGAAATCCTTACCTGCCGGAGCTATTGCTGCTCAGCTACAGAGTGGAAAATGGGGACTTGGGAATGCAACACGATAACTGCCACAGGAATGTGCCACCTTAGCTGCCATCTAGGGCCCAGGAAGTTGCCTTTGCTGAAATTAATGGCTCCAGAGCCATACCTTGTCTGTTGAAGTCACACACATTGATGTCCTGTATCCTTTCTGTCAGTACTCTCACCTGGAAACTCAGCGGTTGCCATTGCAAATTCCATGACCCTGCTTGACAGTAGAAACAACAGGGGCACAGGAGTAGCCTTCCTACTGTTTTGCATGAGTCTGACAGTAGCTGGGAAGGAGGACAGAGTGGATATCAAGCTAGCCAAATCTCATTCTACCTCGTGCTTTATTTTCTATTTTTTCTACATTTTCACTCTGTGAAAGTGGTGATATTATCTGTGGATTCTTTGTGAGAATTAAGTAGACTACTGTATAGAAAGCTCTTGCTTTCTCTCTTGTTTGAGGATTGCCTCACAGGCTATTGGGATTATGACACTTGAAACACAACCCCTTCCCAAAGAGAAAAAAAAAAACTGAAACTTAGAAACAAACTGGAGATCATAGTGAAATTTCCTACTGTTGTTAG